CAACTTGTGAGTTGTTATCTCCTTCGGGATACCTGGCATGTCTGCATGGGAAAAAGCAAATAGGTCTATGTTACTTTTTAAGAATTGGCAAAGTTTACCTGGATCTTGGAGCTTATGGCCGATGAAAGCTTTCTTGCTGTGGTCGTCGTCGTCTAATTGGACGGAGTCGAGGTCCTCTATGGTTGACCCTACGACTTTTATGATTTCAGGGTCTCTGATGACGTCTCTCCTTTCATCGTTGTCTGGCCCCGACTCTGTTAAATTCTATGCTTCCTCGGCCTTTCCTTTCAATTGTTGGGTGTATGTGCAGTCTTGGGCGATGCGGTATCATTCTCGGGGCGTACGTTGCTCTCCCCGTATGCAGAATACTCCCTAAGGGGTAGGAAATTTAATGACTTGGTATAAACTGGAGGGGACGGCTTTCATGGCTTGTATCCACGGTCAGCCTATAATGGCATTGTACGACATATCCTGGTCCATGATGTGGAACATGGTCTCCAAAGTGATGCCGCCGGCCAGGACGGACAATGTGATTTCTCCAGATGTCTGCTCAACTGCATTGTTAAAACCTGTTATCATGATGCAACGTGGCACTATTTTGTCCTCGAGCTTCATTTGGGTGAGAACTAGAGGATAGATGATGCACACGCCCCTTCCATCATCGACCATAATACGTCTTACATTAGTATTAAAAACACGCAAAGTAATGACAAGGGCGTCATAGTGAGGGAAGACCAAACCTTGGGTATCTGACTTATCGAAGATGATACTTTCTTCGAGTTCGTCATAAGGTGATCGACCGCTTGAGTTTGTGGGTAGTGGTGAACTTCACGCTGTTGATAGATACGTCGTCGCCTCCTCCGATGATCATTTGAATGGTCCGAACTAGGGGAAGGTGGCTTGGACGGCCCCTGGTGTTGTTCTCTCCCTTGGGCGAAGTTGGCCCTCCCATGATCGCCCATCAACTCTTTCAGGTGCCCTTGGTGAAGCATGTTCACGACCTCTTGTCTTAGGGCGATGCAGTACTCGGTTTTATGACCCCGTTCCTGGTGAAATTCGCAGAGGACATTTGACTTTCTGTTGCTCGGGGCGGATTTCATCTTCTGTGGCCAATTTACTTTTGGACCGAGCTTCTCCAGTGCGTAGAGTCGCAGACTATTTGTGAGGGGGAAACACAAAAATTGTGAGATGATAATAAGGGGGCATACCTCTTTCATTTCGGTGGATTCCCGTTCGCGGCCTGGATGTACCTTCATCATGGCGTGAAGGTGGCATGAGGGTGCCTCTGATATAAGGCTGATGTCTTTCTTAATTAGGTCGGGATCCTGTAAGATCCCTCCTGCTGTCGTTTCTTTGGTCTTTTCCATTTGGACCAATGTTAGACGTCGGGTAGTTTCATTGAGATCGTCCTCGTCGGCTCTTACCTCGGCACAGTAGGTGTTGTGTATCTCATCCCAAGTGGTTGGAGGGTATTTCATGAGTCGGCTCAGCAAATTTTTGGTCGCCCGTGACCCACTTCTACTTAGCCCATTCTGGAAAGCGGCTACTGCCATTCCTTCAGATACATTCGGAAGGGTCATTCTTACAAGGTTGAACCGGGCGAGGATGTCCCTGAGTCGTTCGCCAAGCGATTGCTTAATGGCGAATATGTCCTTCACCCTTCCCTCTGCTTTTTTGGCCCCGACGTGGGTGGTGACAAATTTGTCTTCCATTTCCTCGAATGTTTCTATGGAGCACGCAGGTAACTATGAGTACCAAGTCAGGGCTCCGCCGGTCAGGGTCTCTCCAAACTTCTTCAGCAATATGGATGATACTAGCTCTTTTGCGAGGTTATTGCCTTTTATTGCAGTGCCATAGTGGGTCACATGATCCTCCGGGTCCGCCGTGCCGTCGTATATTTTCAAGTATTGTGGAATTTTGAAGGTCTTTGGTATGGCGTGTGGTGCAGCGCCATCGCTGTATGGTTGCTCGACAAACCGAAAGGCATCTCTTTTTGGCAGAAGTTTTGGGGCACCTGGTATTTTGTCTACCCTTTCTTGGTGCTCTTTCATTTGGCTACGGAGCATTTTGTTCTCGTTCTCCATCTCTTTCATTTTCCTCAAAATGGCTATGAGGGTGTCATTACTTGCATCACTAATATTGTGAGTAATACCTGATTGGGGGGAGGGGGCGTGTTGTTCTTCAACTGCCGATGCGACACCAGCTCTTGTGTCTTCCTTATTCGACCTCCGAGCGGACTTGTCTAGGAAGCCGGTTAGCGTATTTGTCAACCATGCCTCAAGTAACTTTTTCACTACTGGTGGTGCCTCTTCTGTCGTGGACGTAGAAGAGCCCTTTCCGTGCGAGGTAGTAACGCTGTCAGGAGGTGGAGGCGAGTTGTTTCGCCCGGGTGAGGTATTTGGTGTTATGTATTAACCCTCCGCTTCGTCTACTTCATTAATGGTGTTGAGGAGATTGGCGGTGAGATCGGCTATCGCCTTTCTCTTTTTCTCTCCGTTGCCTGCCATGGCAGATTTGTGCAAACAAGGAAATACGGGATTTTGCAAAGTTTTGTACGTTTGCGTTTTGCATTTTTTTAGATCTAGAAGAAACTAAATTTTTAAGTGGAAAATCCCCACAAACGACGCCAAATTGTTTGACCAAAAAATGTTAATCCTTTTTGTTAAACTAATTAACTAAAATAGTAATGGGCAAATTCTAGTTAAATATAATAAATCCTAGACCCGAGATTAATAGATGTCGATAATGTAAAAACTGCACTCAAAGCTATTAAATAACAAGGGGTGTTTGATGATATTGTTATGGATGAATGAGGGAATAATATCAAGCAATAAATACGATAAATGTCAATAAATGTAAATAGAGAGAATGATTCACCCAAATACTCAATGAGGTGGATGATTCTCTCTCTGACAATGATGTAAAGCAATCAAGCGCGGGAATATAGGAAACTTTCTCGGATCTGATATGAGAAAGCTTGGGACCAACAACAAATTGAATCTTTTACAAAGGCAATGTTTGTAGTTACTTGAGAGTCAACTTTTCTAGAGAGAGCTTATCATATAGTAGAATATTATATACCCCCTTTTTTTCTCTCTCTCTACTCCTACTTATATGGGACATATCCCTTACCTACCAAAAGTACAAGTGCAGAGAATATTTCTTTAAAATATCTTATAATTACTAAACTAGCCGATTTTTGGCCGATCTAAACGTTCGACCTCGACCTTGGCTGCTCGGCTCGCCAATGTTACTTCTTAAGCATGACCTCGGCCCAATTGGCTCTTAATTGTCCTCTCTTAGGCGAGGTTCCCTTGATCAAATTTTGACCCATACAGACGTAATAATATATGTAGGAATTGCTTTCGCTTATGTTGTGATTAATAATGAATGGACTATAATATTATACATGAACTATTTACTTTAGAAGGATATTTATGTCTATAGATAGTTTTAATGCCCATTGCTAATGCATATATTTTTATTTTACATTCCCACGTAATTTAATGCAGGTATTATTTAAAACTTCCAATCAAATATTACATAGTTATAAGTCAATTATTTTTTTCTGATGATGCGGACATTCAAATGTTAGAATTATTTTATGTGGATTTTATACTAGAGTTAATTTCTCCAATACAACAACCAAATGAGTACCTCATTTTATCACTTTAGGTAAAGGATCAATTTAGGTTATCAATAAATAAACAAGGACACACTGGAAGAGAAAAATAACATGAAAATCCCACTATAGCAAATTGGTTATCATATATATATATTGAACTGCTTTTTTTCATTATTACATAAAACAATATAATAATACAATAACTTTAAAGGTTATAATCAAAACAAATATTGTATAAAGTAACAACATAATACAACGAGACCGGGTTCCTGTATAGCATTATTGGTACTTGAAGTTGAAGGTTTTGATGCTACAGAAGCTTTGGGTTTTTTCTTTTAGAGATAAAGATTATGTTTGAAACCGTTCATAAGATGATTAATATCACCATTTTCTTCTGCCTCTCCGGCCAAAGTTTGCTGCAGAAATTTTAACAAAATCAGATAATGAGTAAATATTGAATTCAGAGGAAACCAGGTAGATGCTTGACCTCTTTAACACTTTACCTGAAGGCAAGAGACAGTATAGTGCACATCACTTTCTGAAACCTGGTGGTGTATAACAAACCTGATTCTGCAATAGGAAATGCTAACCATCAGCATGATCAAGAAAGGAAAAGAAATGTCAAACACTATTCACACAAAATCGTGCATACAAACGTGTAGACACGTATAATGTCATGGGCGGCTTTCCAGCCATGCCCCATGACCCCTTGGGCGCGCCCCGTGGCGTCCTAGCAAGCCTCCCAATGCCTAGCGCCACGAACGGCCCCGTGGTCTTGGCCGCGCCAAGTGACAAGCGCGCAGGTGCCTCTGTCGCCCCACCGATATCCCTCGCCAGCGCCAAGCCGCAGGCAGAAGCCAACAGCGCTGCGCGCGCAGACCGTGATGCCAAAGACACTGCTGCTGACAACGGACCTGCTGCTGCCTTATAGAAAACTAAGTCATTTTCATTGTAAATATAGAGTAGTTTTATTTCATGTACTTCCATTATGTTTCTCTAGCTTAATCAAGTCTAGTCCTGTAACTTTGGATTATTTTTTTTTAAATACTATTAGGGGGGATCAAGCAATCAAAACTTTCTAGCAAGCAAGCAATTCTCTGTACTGGTGTCTCTCCCCCTCGACACCGCGTTGCTTTTCTGTAATAGCTTTCATTAATGCAATCAAGCTTTCTTTCATTCTGAATTCTCATTTCTGTTCTCTCAATTGCTCTTGATATTGGTTTTCCCGTACGGCACTGACAATCTCGTCTAGCATACGGAGGGGACCTCAGTTGGCGGACAGCAACTGCACTGACATCAGTTGCTAGCCTTACGTCGCCCTTCCAAGGAATCTCAGGAAGGCGCCGCGTAACAGTAATCAAACCAACATCCATCATGTTTAAATTGCCAACAATGACTCATTCACATCAACTTGCTACCAAGCGTTACAGCCTATAGCAAGAGTTCAAATACATTATCCGATGCAAGAAATACATATTATTTCATTGTTTTTTTCCTCCTTCTCACTAACCCTTGAGATGGGACCAAGGACAAAGTGAATCGCGTTACTTTCTTATCAACGCTAATATACATTTAAGGACAAGAAGAATGTCCGTATACACCAAGAAACCACTATTCCATTACAAGTAGCAATAAAACTATGACTAAGATATGAATTATTTATCATGGTATCCCGAGTTTGCATCCAGGTGATTGCTATGTCTCCAACAAGTTGTTCACCAACAAGAACATCTCATCAGTTCCCAAGCCTAGAAACATTAATCCGTTATGAATTCTATATAGTAGAAATATTCTCCACGTTTGTTTTACCATTTGTTGTGGTGGTGCTGGTGCTGGTGCTGGTTGCAGGGCGAATAAGGTCCAACCCATACACATGGCCCATTTTAGCACGTTTTGTTTCCAGATATTTCTTGTTTTCTTTTGTGATGGGACACAGAAGTGGGACTCTACCAGAAATTGCCAAACCATAACCTTTAAGCCCTCTATATTTTGCAGGATTGTTTGTCATCAACCTCATAGTTCGAACACCAAGATCCCTCAACATCTGCACAAGGATACAAGTTTAGCTTTGCTATACGATACATTAGATTTACACACAATTTACGGCATGATGCAGAAAGAGCTCATATGTACACCAGAAAAGTTTTATAGAAAGTAAAGTACCTGCGCACCAATCCCATACTCTCTTGAATCAACGGGCAAACCAAGCTCTTCGTTCGCTTCAACAGTATCACGTCCAGCATCTTGTAAATTATAAGCACGAAGTTTGTGACCCAAACCAATTCCTCTACCCTCATGACCACGAAGGTAAACCAAAACCCCCCTGCCAGCAGCCTCAATTTGTTGCATTGCAAGCGCTAGCTGGTTCCCACAGTCACATCTGGCTGAACCGAATATATCTCCTGTGAGGCACTCCGAGTGTACCCGGACAAGAATATCTTGGCCGTCTCCAATATCTCCCTGTTCATTCCACAAAACTCGTCCAAAATCAGTCCCAAACATGAAATGAACTTTGCCAATCCAATATTACCATAGTTTGCATTAATATAAATTTGCTACAAGGATGCCTAACTGTAAGATGGTGTAAGATACAATAGCACACGTGCCCTTCCCCTTCACAGTTAAGAAAAACATAGAACCTCATGTTTCTACTAGATATACCTAGTTTTGTGATTACTGAAACACAACAAACTGAAATATACATACAATTTCACACTAGTCCAACCACTGCTGAAGATATATGACAGAATATCCTCAAAGGTGCTCACCTTAACCATAGCAATGTGCTCAATTCCATCTATTATTGACTTGAAGCAATGGGCAGTGAATGGGCCCCACATAGTAGGTAATCTTGCAGCAGAAGCATGCTCTACCAACTGATCTCTTTTCCTCCTATATCTGTAAAGGGAAGTTCATGTCAGATGATGTACCCAAAGTTAATGTAGTAGAAACAAGTGGAAGAGGGGCTAAAAAGAATGCTTGCTTTCAAGAAAATTGTTTTGCTAGAAAAAGCAAGGTAACCAATTTTACGATATTAGTGCAGCTAAATGCATACCAAAAGAAGAAAAAAAAATCAGAGTAGACTTCTTATTCAACATAGGAAACTATTGACTTACAGGGGAACTGACTGATGTAATAGCGGGAAAAAAGAACATTCTTAGAAGTGGTTTAGTTAAAAACATTATGAGGATTAATAATTTTCGTGCTCCTGGCTATCAAAATAGAACTTTAACACAGTTCTTGGTTTCTCTTAAGGGAAAAGGGGCATGAACTTTTGCATAATTTCTTATGCAGTTAGGATGGAAGAAAGACGAAGCTAAAAAGAAAATAGATCCAGAATAAACATAAAAAGATGCTTCTCACTTCAGAACCATCAGAAGTATCTAGTCATCACGTTACAAAAGGACAAAACAATAAAGCACCAAGGAATTATTCAGCAACAACAATTCCTAATGAAATCAGAAGGAGATCTGTGAACTACCTGATTAAATCAGCAACTGATATGATCTTCAAGTTATATTCTTTTGCAAATTGACGAAGCTTAGGCAATCTGGCCATGGAACCATCTTCATCCACAATCTCACATATTACTCCAACGGGGTCTAAGCCAGCTAACATGGCAAGATCCACAGAAGCTTCAGTATGGCCAGCTCGTTTTAGAACCCCACCTGGCCTGTATTTCAAAGGAAAAATATGACCTGGTCGGTTGAAATCCTCAGGCTTCGAATCTCCGGACGCAAGTGCCAGTACTGTCGTTGCTCTATCTTGAGCAGACACCCCTGTAGTTGTTCCATGTTTTGCATCCTGTGTGATTGTTTTACCATCAATGCTCCATAAGTATCAATTTAAGAGGATACTACTAGACTAGGATGCTGAAAGGGCAACCAGAGGAAGCACACACGAGGAATAATTCTCAAGAAAGTCTTTTGACCACAATCCCAGTAAGAAATTAAATGCAGTAAATGTTTTTCAAAAAACGAGCCGTAAGTATATTGGTTGACATGTGTACCATTAACAAATGTAGAAGTAAAACAGAGATGACAAAGATAGTTGTACTCCATACAGCTGCAAGAATTGCAAGACTAGATCCTTAAAATATCCCCTGGGGAAACACAGTATTCCCGCATTGACTGGGAGTTAAAGTTACTGCATTTAGGAAAGTGATAAGCAAAGAAGACATGATTGCATACACAAGTTAAATGTAAATTTTAGAATTTCTGTTCTCCTCATCTCTTAAAACAGAACAAATCCACTGTGATTCATTTGATATGTTAAAATTGGGAACACTTTGGACATATTTACTTCTAGCCCGTTTGGCCAAGCTGCAAAAATCAGCTTATTTTGAGAAGCGCTTTTTTTCAAAAGTGCTTTTCTCAAAAGTACTTTTGGTGAGAAGCAGTTTGTGTTTGGCTAATTAGTTTGAAAAGCACTTCTGAGCAGCAATTAGTGTTTGGCCAAGCTTTAAAAAACTGCTTCTAAGTGTATTTTTCTCAAAAGTGTTTTTGGAGAGAAGCTACTTTTTTCTGCTTCTCCAAAACTGCTTCTGCTTCTCCTCAAAAGCACCTTTTTTCCTTCCAAAAGCTTGGCCAAACACCTCAATTTTTGGCCAAAAGCGCTTTTGGCCCAAAAAAAACACTTTTGACCAAAAAGAAGCTTGGCCAAACAGGTTGTTCTTCATTTTCTGAATTCACGAAGTCAGCTTGAGGTCACCACAAATACGAATACTTGCTAATGAGGTGCTAATTAAATATCATATGCATCCCGGCAATTATGGTGTTTGTTAGAAATACGCTTTAGAAGCTGAAAATAGTAAAATTATTTTACTGTTTCAGCTATTTACTGCAGTAATTTAGTTTGAATTTGAAATAATTTTGAACTAGTCTTTAGGAGTGAACTAGTCTCTAGGAGTTAGTTATTTTCAGCATATTTTGTGCTGATTTTTAGATCTTTTAAGTTAGTATTTCTCTTATAAATTATAGTCCAAATGCAGTAAAATAACATAGTATTTTCAGCTTCAGTTCCTTTTACATCTATTCCAGTATACTTTTTTATTTTCTTGTCATCTTCCCAGTTATTTCCCTTAATTTCTTTTATCAAGAACCAACAATTGGTATCAAGAACCATCTTCTTAAGGGACCTAAGTAAAATCTTTTCTTGAGTGAGATGGAGACTGAAATGAGCTTTTCTCAATTGGCTCCTCCAGTCTTTGATAGTGAAAATTACCAACTGTGGGCAGTGAGAATGGAGACTAACTTGGAGGCTTTAGATCTTTGGGAGGCCGTGGAAGAGGATTATGATGTTCTTCCGCTGCCTAACAATCCCACCATGGCCCGGATCAAGAGTCACAAGGAAAAGAAAACCAAGAAATCAAAGGCAAAAGCAACTTTGTTTGCTGGTGTGTCTGCAACAATTTTTACGAGAGTTATGGCTCTCAAATCAGCAAAAGAAATATGGGATTATCTGAAGGGAGAATATACAGGAGATGAAAGAATACGAGGCATGAAGGTGTTGAATTTAATAAGGGAATTCGAGTTGCAAAAAATGAAGGAATCTGAGACTGTCAAAGAATACTCAGATCGGTTGCTTGGCATTGTTAACAAGGTAAGATTGCTTGGTACTAAATTTAAAGATTCAAGAATTGTTGAAAAAATTCTTGTTACGGTGCCTGAAAAATATGAAGTATCTATAACTACCTTGGAAAATACAAAGGATCTATCCAAGATTACCTTGGCAGAATTGTTAAATACATTGCAGGCACAAGAGCAAAGGATGCTTATGAGGCAAGATGGTATGGTTGAAGGAGCCCTGGCAGCCAACCACAAAACTCAAAGCAAGGGTAATAATGTTAAAAAAAATTACCCGCCTTGTCAGCACTGTGGCAAAAAAGGTCATCCACCATTCAAATGTTGGAAGAGGCCAGATGCAAAGTGCAAAATTTGCAACCAACTTGGTCATGAAGCTGTAATTTGCAAAGGCAAATATCAAAAGCATGAAGCAGATGCCCAAGTCGCCAATGAAGAAGAAGATCACTTGTTTGTGGCAACTATTCTTTCAACCAAAAAATCTGATTTTTGGTTAATTGACAGTGGTTGTACAAACCACATGACATATGACAGAAATCTTTTCAAAGAGTTCACGTCTATAGGAAATAAGAAAGTCAGAATTGAAAATAGTGATTATATTCTTGCTAAAAGAAAAGGAACTGTTGCAATCCCAACAAATTCAGGTACTAAGAAAATTTCAGATGTTCTTTATGTTCCTGATATTGATCAAAATTTATTAAGTGTTGGACAGCTAATAGAAAAAGGATTTAAAGTATCCTTTGAAGATAAATATTATTTCATTTATGATGCAACTGGACTTGAGATTTTAAGGGTTAAAATGAGAGGTAAAAACTTCTCATTTGATCCAACCGAAGATGAAGAATGGAGGCCAAAGAATCTACAAAGTGCAGATAATCCTCCAAAAGAGGACATATGTGAAAATGAGACAAAGAAGTTGTCAATATTTCAGAAAAACAAAATTTGGAAGAAAGTTGACAAGCCTCAAGGCAAAATGCAAATGTGGAAGAAAGTTGACAAGCCTCAAGTCAAAATGAAGCCGAAAAAAGAGCCAACTTATTTCATTGACAATCATGAGATGCAGCAAAATAGAAAATTGAACTCAATTTACTGCAAGTCCAAAGATCAGTTGGCAGATTTACGTACAAAGTCGCTTCAAGTTAAAGGTTTACAAGGCATAAATTCAGAATTTGCAGCTTCAAAAGCAAGGAGGAGTGTTAGAAATATGCTTTAGAAGCTGAAAATAGTAAAATTATGTTACTGTTTCAGCTATTTACTGCAGTAATTTAGTTTGAATTTGAAATAATTTTGAACTAGTCTTTAGGAGTGAACTAGTCTCTAGGAGTTAGTTATTTTCAGCATATTTTATGCTGATTTTTAGGTCTTTTAAGTCCAAATGCAGTAAAATAACATAGTATTTCAGCTTCAGTTCCTTTTACATCTATTCTAGTATACTTTTTTATTTTCTTGCCATCTTCCCAGTTATTTCCCTTAATTTCTTTTATCAAGAACCAACAGTGTTGCATTAAGGTAGTCTTCCTTTTATCTACAGGCACCCCGCAAAATAGTACTAAGCATTGTTTTTTTAACTCTTGTAACGAATTCGTAGCATAACATTCTTTGGATACTTCTGAATGTATCACTAATCCAGATTCTGAAATGAGAACTAGCCTGCCAATAAGTAAATGCTTTTTAGGTCTTTTAAGTCCAAATGCAGTAAAATGCAGTAAAATAACATAGTATTTCAGCTTCAGTTCCTTTTACATCTATTCTAGTATATTTTTTTATTTTCTTGCCATCTTCCCAGTTATTTCCCTTAATTTCTTTTATCAAGAACCAACAGTGTTGCATTAAGGTAGTCTTCCTTTTATCTACAGGCACCCCCCAAAATAGTACTAAGCATTGTTTTTTTAACTCTTGTAACGAATTCGTAGCATAACATTCTTTGGATACTTCTGAATGTATCACTAATCCAGATTCTGAAATGAGAACTAGCCTGCCAATAAGTAAATGTCTTTCGTCCCCCCCCCCCCCCCCCCCCCGTCCCCTCCTCCAACAAAGAGACAAAAAGAGACAAGCATATGTGAGTAATTTAGTAAATACATACCACTGAGACTGTAAATGCTGTACAAAGTTTCTCCTCATTCTTTTTATCGTTTACCATCAATGGAAGTTGTAACCTCTCCAAGTCTTCTTCTAACATGCTCACACAAACTATCCCTGTTCCATGCCTCACAAAGAAAGCCATAGCTTCTGGTGTAGCTTTGGATGCAGCCATTACTAAATCCCCTTCATTTTCTCTGTCTTCATCATCTACAACTAGCACCATCTGCAAAATGGATTGACTTAAGTTTACACAACATGAGAGACAAGCATTTGATGAATTTTAAGAACCTTCTTTTTTCTTTTTTGTAAGTTTAAGAACCTACTTTTCCTTGGCCAACGTCTTCGATTGCCTCAGGAACAGATGAGAAACCTTGTGTCGGCCGATCCAAATCGAATTCATCATTATCTAAAGGAAAGCCACTTGTTGTGGGAACAACATCTGCTGCTAGCGTTCCAAAGGCTACAGCATCAGGTTGAGTCTCAGTTCCAGTAAAGAGACCACTGAACAGTGAACTTTCACCCTTGGATTGAGAACGGGCTTCTCCTTCGCCCGATAAAAATGCAGATTTAATCTTAAAATCATTCTTGATGGTGCAGTGTGCTCTAGGATTAAGCCGTATGAATGACTCTGAAGAGACCCCACTAACAGAATATACATCTCCAGAGTGCAGTCCATTGAACAACTTGAAGTTCTTTAATGCTCTACATCAAAAGTGAGCAAATCAGGTAGATGGAAAATCGATATTTAAAGGGTGAATGTAGAATGCTCAACCACATTAAAGATTTGAACGTTATAAACTAAGCTGATGCTAATAACTGGTCTTAGCAAGTTTTTGTATCGCTAAATATGCTACACGTGAACAAATTTACATATCCATTTTCCTGCTTAGTATCTTCAAAATCTATTTACTTAAAGTGAGATCAGAAGGAAACTCAACCTTTTTTTCTAAACAGAAGACTTCATCGATATTCACCAATTCGTCAGAGTACATTAAGTTTTATGATACCAGTACGCATTAAATCTCCCAAAAAAATCTAACAATCATCTATGCAAAAGCGAACTCCTAGCACGCAACCGTGGACCTTCAAGAGTTCTGTTACTTTTTTCTCCCCATATAAGCCCAAAAATGTAAAAGCATATAAAAACTTAATAAACCCCTTTTCTTGCAGGAAAATTTCAAATCTTGCTCCTGGTGCTACTGCTACGCCTCAATCCTTACTAAACAAAAAGGCATCAAAAGATTCCATGACCAAGACAAATATAAGGAGTCTTAAAAAGCAGTAAAAGATGCAGATAACTCTCTAAGTAGAAAAAAACAACACCATAACTTGCACGAACAAAAGTTGTTGAATCCACAGTGTATTCACATAATAAGAACAAAGTCCTCAAACTGATCCAAATTAAACATGCCCAAAAAAAGAATGAATCCGGTAGAAGGACTACAAAAACCCCAAAATCAAATTAGAAATACAGCTCAATTGCAAAAACACAATTCTCAAAGAAAAACTTACTCTGAGCGAGATAAACATGTTGAAGAGAGAGAAATGTTGATGGAAGCCATTAATGTTGTTTGAACGAAAACAAGAAGATTTCAGAAAGGTTTAGGAAATAGGTTGGTTGGCACAATTGAATGCTAAAGGTACTTTGCTGGTGATGTCCTATTTCTCACTGACCAATAGGAATCTATATATAGCTGACCAATACTTTATAATTTGTCCCAACAAATGTTTCTTTATTTTTTTTAACAGCACGCCGTTTTTTTTTTTTTTTCTTTTTTGATTATAAAGGTAACTAATGTGGTTCATATTCCTGTCAAAAAGTATTGTAAGGATAATCCTTGGTTCATCGTATATTCGTATTATGTAGTGAAAATTACTTTAATATAAATTGGAATGAATACTGCCGAATATATTATTAGTATGAATCATGCTTCAGCACGATTACAAGCATGGATCCCCATAATATACTAGTAGTATTAAATACTACAATTAAAAATTAGGCATGTGGATGAATGAGTTTGCATATCAAATATTTGAATTAGGAGTGATTATTATTACTTAAAGCGAGGAAATATTATGAAGAAAATTGGAATGCGAATTTTAGAAAAGTTTGTGTAACACACTATAGTTTGGAGGGACGATGATAATATTCCCATCTATCATTTTTGTGGATATTTATAATATTTTTTTATAATATTAGAGGAACAAATATGTTTGCGCTACTTTATAGAAATATGATTTTATTTTCTGGATATCACTACACAAACATTAGCAAAATTTGAGACCAAGAGCAACAAATCAATTAGGAAGTTCTAGTCAGTGGACAATAAATGTGTCTACGCTACTTTTATTTAATCAAAAATTTGATTCCTACATCTACATGCATGCTAAATGTCTACTAGTTACAACAAGTTAGGAACACCTACTAATGTGCTACAATAGAATACGGGCAATTTGTTATTTTTGTTGTATAACTTTTGAAAATACGTGATTAGGAAATAATAAATGGTACCTCTCTATGTTTAATTATTATTATTTTATCTATTATTATTGGGAATTACTGTAAAAAAAAGATCTCAGATTTGAGACTTGGATATGTAATTATTTTTGTCATGGAACGATTTACCCTCAAGCTGGAACTTTCCTATGTGTATTCTAATTTAATCAAGATTCAGTACGAGTATGGAATACATGGAAACCAGAAAAAGGATATTACTAATTAAATAAAATCCAAGAAGAAAACAAGAACAATTTGAGTTATGAAAGAAGGAAGAGGAATGGGCAGAAGCTATGGCCCAATCATACTTGTCTGTTATTAATTGCACATATAACCCATTTGTGGCTCTTATCAGATTCCTATGCCAAACTGTGGGTTGGCGACTGGCTGGCTATTATATTCTGCTGGACCAATCCAATTACAATAAATTCCAATAAATAAATACACGATTCAGATTCAATCCCTGAACCCAGTTTCACTTTTGAACCAATTTCCAATTCAAATTTTGGCTGCTGGTCAAAGTGTGGCCCACTTGCGTCTTCTTTTACTCGTTTTTATTAGTAGTTGTACTCAATTTGTTTCAATTTAGATGAGATATTTTGACTAAGTACGGAATTAAAATAAAAAAGATTTTTAAGATTTGTGGTCTTAAAAATTTAAGGGATAAAAGTTTTGTAGGTCATGATATTTGTATAGTTATAAAAGCTTCTCATTAATGGTAAAACGAGTAAAATGAAGAGTTTAAAGTTGTATTATTTCCAATTGTAGAAATGTGTCATTCTTTTTTAAACGGACCAATAAGAAAAGTGTGTCATCTAAATTGAAACAGAGGGAGTAACTTTTAAAGTATTTTCTGAACATTCACAAAGTGTAATATAGGAGATTTTTAATTGGCGAAATACGCCCCTTTAAGTTGTCCTCAACTATCAAGTAAACACATTAACTGAGCTCATTTCCGGTTAGACACCTCTGTTTGGTAAAAGTGTGCCTAGTAGATACCTTACAATGACATGGCAAATCATGTGTTGCTCACCTAAATTTAAGCGCGTGAACTTATTAGGTTTTTTCTGTTCTCTCATTTTTTCTAGATTAAATTTAATTTTCATGTGGGTCCCACTATGTTTTTTATTTTTCAGACATTATTTTCACTTTCTTCGCAGAAAAATTCATCTCCCAATAATTTTATGTGGATCCCACTACCTTTTTAAATTTTCCCACATTAAAACCGTTTTATTCCCAAAATAATTTATCTCCCCACCAAACTTTCTTAACCTAAGGGCATTCCACCCTTTACCCAATTGTTGGTCCCCAAAATGGAAATTTTTCCATTTTGGAGACAACTTACTCCAACCATTTTCCCATTTTTTTTCTCAAAAGAGAATATTCTTTTTTATATTCTTCTCTCTCTTCTATATTATATTATCTTTCATTTCAGTTTTATTTTTTGATTTCCATTAAACAAATTCCATCTTTTATTTTCATTTATTTGTAATTTCCATTAAAACAATTTTATAAAATTTTAAATAATATAATTTGTAAGCAATTACTATAGATTAACTAATAATTCAAATAAAAGTAAAATCATTGCGATACAAGATTAACTAAATACATATTACATAACGATAAAATTTATTCGAAATACTACATAAATATTCAACTTCAACCTCTAGTATTCTCCCATAAATAATCTATTAATGCATTACGAAGTGCAAAATGAGCATCTTTGTCCTTAATTCTTTTATTATGCTATTTAACGTAGTTTCAATTTTTATGTATTTTAATTTAATGTATTTTTAATTTACATGTATTTCCAATTTTAATGTATTTTTTATTTTCACTTTTCAGTTTTAGCAAAATCTAATATTTTATATTCGCACCTTTCAATTTTAGCAACATCTAATATTTTATATTTGCACCATTCATTTTTTGATATGATTTTATATTTTTTGTACAATTATAATTTATAATAAAATTAACTTACAATTTTACATAAAAATAATAAATGCACAAAAATTAATTTATCAAAATTATACGCCAAAGTTAAGATGTAAAATTAATATTATAAAGATATTACATAAACATAATTAGGTATATATAAAGAGATAAATTAAAAGAGTTAAAGAATCTATTATCTATTAATATATAAAAGGAGAAGCAAATTCATGATATTATGCCACGTGTTACGACGAAATATCAACATGTGTAAACTTTTAGGACCAACTTCCTATAAATTTGGAGATTCAAAAAATAAATTAGAATAGAAAAAAAAAACCTTTCAAAGTTTAAAAGAATTACCTAATCAGTTATTCACAGATAACTTTTTTACATAGAAATAGGAAGAAAACACTTCACGATGTCTAACAAATTCAAAATAAATAGACTCCCACGTTGTTTCATTAGTTTTCTACAGATAATTTTTTTACATAGAAATAGGAAGAAAACACTTCACGATATCTAACCAATTCAAAAAAAAAAGACTCTCACTGATCACGCCCAACTATGCCTTATAAAAAGGACAATGCGGACGTTGCAAATATAGCCTGAGTATTGTGCCCAAAGTCGAATCCACAGAGAATTAACCTATCAATCACTATCTTTAGACCTACTAAACTCTTTAGAATCAATTTCCCAAACGTTGAGAATCACAGTTGATGGTGTTTTTAATAACTAAGATCAACAGTAACTAATAGCTACAAATTAAAGATGCTAAGCTGTAAACAATAATGAGAAAGTGCTAAGGTAATGATTTCCCCTATTGATGGAATTTCTTCTGTTTATGCTTCATACAAATTTACCAACACATCTCTATCAATCATGAACGCTCTTCTTACCGTAAATCTCTCCCGAGTAATCACAGTAATTTACTAGTTGCACTCTCCCGAGATACACTAGCTTGCTTTATTTAACACAATTCACTTTAGATTACACCCAAGGCTTCGTTATCCCTAATCCCGCCTTTAAACCCTCGGTTATTGATCCCTCATATACTTTGGGAGTGGTGTTGTTCAACAATTACCTAAATATGCACTCTCTCCCGAGTTATGCACACTAAATAGGCACAGCTAATTGAGGATCCTGTCAATTAACTACAACAAACACATAGTTGAACAAATAGAGATTGGAACTAGCAATTTGTATTCACATAAACAAGAAGTTCATCCCCCAATAGGTTCCATCAAAACCTTAGACAAAGGATTTAGCTACTCATAACTATGGGTAAACAAACTAAAACAATATTCATCATGAAACTTGCAAGAAAAATCAAAGAAAAGAAGAAAGATGTTTTGGGTGATCTCTCACAATTGTTTTCCTTGCTAAAATATTCTCTAATACAATCCCTGCCTCCTTTGGGTGAAGTCTAGTATTTAAAATAGGATTGTGGGCTAAAAATCCCGTATTTTGCACTTATGTCCCTGAACTTTTCCGCCTCTGCCGCGGTTCTGCCGCGGTAGCGGTCAAACCGCGGCCACACACCTTCTCTGAATCTCAATTTATCCGCGACCATCTTCTACCACGGTTCTGCCGCGGTCGCGGTGGAACCGCGGCAGTCCTTCTTCAGGCTTGGCTTGAGCTGCTTCGCTTGGTTCATTTGGCAAAATTTTACGATTGGCCTCTTTTTCTCCATATTTGATCCCAAAAGTACTCCATAGCCTTCTCTTGTCATATATCACCTGCAAAGCATGAAAAGCACTAATCAGAGCATTTTGTTATCACTTTTATCATCAAAACTATACAAGAAGATGGTTCTTTAGGGCCTAATTA